CTCATTCTTGCCGATGTATTTTGCGATATAAAATGCCACCGCCGCAACCCCAATGACTGGTTGGATGTCCATGTTACAGCGAAGGAGCTTGAGAAGAACAGGGTGGTAGTTGTTAATTCGCTCCTCCCCTTTGTCACGATGAATGACGGCCCCGCGACCTTTGCATGCATCTTCTGAAACCAGCGTGGTCTCTGCTGCGAGTGGACGGGGAAATCCAAATCTACACGATGCACTCTTTTTGAAGCATGTCGGTGTGTCCCTGTGAGATTGGTAACGACGAACTATGTCCTCCATACCAGAGCGCTGCAGCCCGCATGATACATTTCGGTCAATGAAGGCGATTCCTTCTGGAGTGGAAAAACCAGGGGCACCCTCCACCCATATCAGTGAGTGAAGATGTGGACTGCCACGATCCTGAAATTCCACACGGAATGTGTAATCTGCAACGGGTCCTCCAAAAATTGTGGTGTCGGTAGTAATTAATTTGATTAATTCCTGAGTTCGTAGGTTAAAGTGACGAGCGGCAGCAACAGGATTGAAATTTAGTAGGTCACGACGAATCTCGAAAGGAAGATCTTGTATCTTCTCCGGAGGAGGGTCGTCTGCCGCATGTGACGCCTTCCACATAGCATTGAGGACGTCCGTTGAACCCATGTCGTCATAGGAGACCGTGAGAAAGAATGTGGGGGGACCAAGTCGTGTTATCATGGCCATAATATCTCCGGTATACTTCTTCCAATACGATTTTGATCCCCTTATTGCACTCATGTAAAGATGCAAATTTTCGGCAGCTGGGGCGTTATCGTTTTGTTCATCCTGATACCTCATATTGCCGCAGACATTGATCTTCGACCTGATGATGGACTCCTCAGACCTTGAGAGGGCATAGAAGAGGTACTCGTTACTGTGAAATCTGGCATCGGCCGACATCACTCGGGTCTGGAAGTATCCATGAGCAGTTAAATGAAGACGATCGTCACGTTCTTCATCAAATCCAAATTGCCCATGAGGGAAGCACTGAACGAAGCATTTTTCTTCCAAATGATTCTCATCGTGGACTCGAATCGGAGGGGCAGCAGTTCGATGAAGTGCGAATGACTCCAACCGAGGCTCGATGAAGTCCACAGGATGAATGAGACAATCTTCCAAGGCCTCCTCCCCAAACGCGGCGGCTTCCGGTGGTCTCTCAATATTCTGCGGCTGTTCAGGTGGGGGCGGGGGTGGCGTTGAGATGACCTGATGCTCGTCAAGAATTGTGACGTCGAGTGGTGTAATAGTAACGACGGCAGAGTTTGGCCCACCCACACAATTTTTGTTGACGATCGAACCGATATGGTTGACGCTGGCCGGGTGTGTTCGATCAAGTTTGAGAACCACAGCCTTCTGTCTAGCAGCGGTGGATATTTGACCTTGCTTGGTCCTGGCATGGCTGTCGAAGTAGAAAATGTATTCCTCCGTCCGGATGAGTGCCATTGTGTATCCACCTTCAACAATTTAGAATTTTTAGAATTTAACAACTTTTAATATTAATTTGTTAACTAATTTAAACTTGCCTGCCGTCAGGAGTCCATAATTTGATGGTCCACCAAGGAATTCAGAAACAGCACCAGATATAGAATTGCTTGTAATGGACGTGGCCTCCTGCCTAAATTTGTCAAACGCCCCATAAATTACGGCCCCCCCGCGAATAAATCCGATTCTGACAGTTTTCCCGTAGCAGTTGGTGACATCTCCGAGAACTTCGTCCACGGCGAGATGATTTGAGACGTCTGGGCGTTGTTGTCCGTCGGCGATAACTCGTGACGCGTACGCGTCTGCAAAATAAAGAAATTTATTTATTTATTCCATTATAATGAAATACGTTGACGATGATACCTGCCAGACGGTTCCGGCATTGATTATTGTAGAAGTCGCCCTCCGTCAGAATCCTGTCCCCATCCTGAATAAGCCAGTCATTGGGCGGCTTGACTGCGGCGTATGCGGCGGCAACGGCACAAATTGCTGTGCACTGGTTCCCTGCTGCGTCCCCAAAAATCGGAGCGCTCTGGCAAAAACTCATCTCCAACGTTGACATCCACGGCTTTCCTGGAACGACGGAGTACGTGTTCTGGATACGGTGCCCTCGTCGTCGAGTGATTTCCTCAGGACTTGGAATGACATCCGCTTCCTCTCGAATCACGATGTCCTGGATCCGGATACCGTCCACGTGAAACTGGTCCAGGGTGACGTTCGAGTAACCTGGATTATTTATGAGCAGCCACTGCAGCGCCTCTCGCAATTCTGAAACGGATTTGTTATTAAAATTAGAAATCGTATCAAATTTGTCTGCTCAAATTGTGTCAGAAATATTTATATTGTTGACTCACCTTGTGGGCGTAACTGATAGACCGACGAGTGAGGAAAGTTCTCCACGGATTCGGTCACGACAACAGTCCCGTAATTGTTATTCGGCCCAAGTCGCAGCTGCTCTTGGACCTCCTCCACACTTTGAGCGAAGTGGATGACTTGCCCTCGTTGCGCAGCTTGCCCACGACCACGACTCAATTTGAATATCTTTAAAAACGCCTTGGCCCGACTCACTGCTCTGGTCTCGACCTCAGATAACTTGCGGATGACTTCCGGCGAAGCTGGAACGAACATGTTATTGAGAAGAGCTACCGCAGGTACCTTTCGCTTACTCAAACTTTCATGACATCGGTGGCAACAGGTGATTACTTCGAGAACGGCGGGGAGGAGATTGGCCTTCACCGTGGGGATGTACTTGTTGGGGACGCCGTCGAGGAGGTCGTAAATTTCCTGGGTCACGGTGAGAGATCTGCATAATTAACGTAATTAATTAATCAGCTCCATTCTCGTGTGATGTGAAAGTAAATTTTTGATCAATTACTGAGTTTTTACTAATAACTTACCTAATCCCCTTTCTGTACCAAATACGGTCACAAATTCGGCACCTCCAGTCAGCCGCTTGATTAATGTTTATATTGAATAACTTTTGTTGAGACGATTCTTCTGAACACTGATGACGGTTTATGTCGTCGCCGGAAATGGTTGTGGGTTTTTCATTACGGTTGTAATTATTGTTAGATCCGGCGATCGGATTATTATTGTCAACGTCGTTAGGTTGACTGTTCCAAATTTCACCAGTACGATGTAACTTTTTAACATATCTATTTTTATCAACCTTTCTGCGCTTTTGTAGTTTTTTCGGCATTTTTCACACGATTCAGATATGTTAAGCTCGGATTTTATTTCCGTATAAATTTGTAATCACATGTGAAATTCAACTCGTAGACTGGGCGGACTGAATTTCGCGCGCCAGTGGGTACCGTGAGACTTGGCTTTATTTACAGTTAAAAATATAAGAAAAGTATAAATCCCTAACACCACATAATATATAATCAATTAGTATAAAGTAACTTAGAAGTAAAGATAAAGGAAATACAATTAATATAGTACATATGTATGTATGTATGTATGTCTTTATTAATATAGTACATATAATGGTCATGTTCACTTTTGACTTTCATGGTTTAGAAATGGTCCAGAATTCATGTATATCTCACATATAAAATTGTGAAGCATAAATTTTTGCACAACACTCATGATCCTATCCATATTAGATTATACCATCTAAGGTAGTACACGTAACCTTATGAAAAATTAAAATTTCAAACCGTTTAAAAAATCGCGCCATAACTCAGAAACCATGACCGAATTCAAAAAAGTATGTCCTCTGAGGGTCATAAGTTGGACCCTCTCCTACATAATTTTCTTAAGGTCCAAGTCTCTAAAACGTAACGCTTTGGCTGTAGGTCCGCGAACAAATTGACACTTTTAATCACGAAAAATCACACAAATTCGAACTTTGCTCCAAACTGAAGCCTTAATCAAAAAAAAGTTTCAAACTAACGTTGTAGCTGAAGTACTTCTGGACATATTTGTAATTGCATGTATGTCTCTATCATGCACCCAACCCATTTGGGGTAGCTTTTAAGATTTTTGGCGCGAAAAAACGTATTAACGTTGATATCTTTGGTATGGTTCGAGATACTGTAATTCTGAGAAATGTCATTTTAAAGCTCGGTGAGATGTATCCAACGCCGCTTAGTTGAAACCTGTAGGTCAAAACGTTTCGCCATACGAGCGCCCGACATTCTCCATAAGAATTAGGAACAACATACTATATGTTTCTCATATAGCGCGAACTGCCTCACAATGCCCCACATTGCAAGACAGTTGCACTTCATGGGGAAAAAATAGAAAAACGTTCTCACCGCTGAGAGTGATTTAACTCTGGACAGCAGCGGGATCTCATTTTCCCCCAGTATCCAGTGCGGGATGTTGACCAGTCTCAGGAGGGGAGCTTGCGAGGTTGATAATAACAGATCTTGATGCCCTTTGGATATGTGATAGGGTCTCATGAGTGTACTAAAACCCTGAAGTGGTTTGACTCCATGGCCACATTTGCGCCCGCCACACCCACTCAAAAATGCCCAAAAAACGCTTCCACTCCAGTTTCCACTCACTCAAATCCACGTCAAAAATCCAATTTTACTCGGATTTTGAAATTTCTTTCATCATTACACTCCCAGATAGTTGCTTTCTTCAATCCAATATCAAACCCAATTTTTTCGAAATTTTTAGTATTTTTAAAATTTGAAATTCTGAATGAGGATTGTTGTAGTAATCAACAACTCAAATTACGCCTGCGAAATAATCATCAGCAAAATTGAGTTTGATATGGAATTGAAGAAAGCAACTATCTGGGAGCGTAATGGTGAAAGAAATTTCAAAATCCGAGTAAAATTGGATTTCTGGCGTGGATTTGAGTGAGTGAAAACTGGAGTGGAAGCGTTTTTTGGGCATTTTTGAGTGGGTGTGGCGGGCGCAAATGTGGCCATGGAGTCAAACCACTTCAGGGTTTTAGTACACTCATGAGACCCTATCACATATCCAAAGGGCATCGAGATCTGTTATTATCAACCTCGCAAGCTCCCCTCCTCAGATTGACGACATGCCGGAAAACCATTAACATTCGCGAAATCAAAGAACTAATCGATGGCAGCCGAATCGAAGTAACACAGTAACACGACCAGCTTCGCATTTTGACCGTTAAGCTGGTCAATTTTGGCGGGTTGTTTAAACCATCGGGGAGCCAGTCGCCCCAGTCTCTTTGCTCCATAATGGGATAATAATTTTCAGAATGCAGTAGCTTTAAATAAAATTTCAATGATTTCAAATTGACGCAGAATTCCACCAGCATTTTGATCACGCGGGAGTCCACATGTCTGGAAGTATCGTCGAGAATAATATCAATTTTCAGGATTGTAACAGATTTGAAAATGTCGATTGAACCTAATAATTCGCATTTTACGAGCAAAATATCTCTATCTTTCTGGTTCTCGGGTAGAGTGGATATTTGGACGTATTTTGGACACAATTCCGTAAAGTGGGCGAGGTCGACGGGATCCCTGAGTGCGGAGAGGTTAAGGTCGATCCGGTTTCGGGCGAGGAGATGGATCAGAGCTTCCCCTTCCCACGTGGAGTTGACGAGAGAGGCAGATTCCAAGTCGGGAGTGGGGAGGAACGCCATAATTCCAGAAATTATCTGGATAACATACCAATAAAAATATTCATTTAATAAATTCTAAATAATGTTGAGTAAGATTTGCGATGACAGAACTGATTGTGTGAAGTTTAGTCAAGAAGGTTGAGCGAAAATTCGGCAAAATTTTACACAACCAGGTCTGTCCACTAAACTGTTGCCAAATTTATTTAGAGTGAATTGCTCCCATAATTCGAGAAATTATCTGGATACAATTTTGTATGGTGTTCTTTTAACAATTTTTAGTTTGTAAAAAAGTTGTACCATACTATACATAAATACATACAAAAATGTTGCAAAGTACATAAATACCTCGGGCAAGTTTCCAATTAAATTAATTGATTCCTCTATAGAATTCTGCATTTCGGTGGGAACTTCAGTCTGGCTCATCGAGGAGTTACTCTTTCAGTTAGAAAATCAAAGGAAATTATTGGAATGATGTTTGTACTAAATTATAAGTTATAAGTGAACGGCGTCAATTTATTTATGTATGTAAGTGATTTTTTTAAAAGACATGCTACATTTGCACTATTCTAGCGGAGAACAAATTTAATCAATGAACCTTTTGTAGTATGTAAATTAACAGTATCAGGTCAACGGCTTTCACTTAGGATTAGTACTTGAGCGCAGTATGGTAGAGCAGCAGCGGTGGAAGACAACTTTTGTACCTTAAAATGAAACCCTTTTTTAACTTTTCGCCCTTTTTACCCAAAAATTAAGAAGGGTTCTTTTCCGAGCTAAATATACTTTGGGTAGAACAACAGGATAATTAACCCTCAGTAATAAGTTATAAACAAGCCCCCAAAAAAGGGAAATCTTAATAAGGCTGGGTGCAGCGATAAATATTAAATAAATTTTTCGTAACAGTATTTGCATGATGCAAATTGCATCACTACTTGAATAACAATGCAAAACTTTATTGTTTTTTAATGGTGTCAAGCTTTCGGTCTAGGTCTTCGTCATCAGGACGGGCTTAATTACATAATTATTAACAAATTACTGCAATTTAATTTATTGACCTAAAGATTTTGAATGAAGACAACAGGAAGTTCCTGTGAGGAATCCATATTCTGATCAATGAAAACTGATGTGCGAATAGATATAGTTTTGAGAGTGGTGATGCAAATGCTGTTCCGAAAAATTTATTTAATATTGATAGCTGCACCCAGCCTCACTAAGATTTCCTCTTTATTGGGGTTTGTTTATTTAATACCATAGGTGGGTAGGTTTTTATTAACTGAATTGATGCGGCCTTTAAAATTATAAGCATAATTTAAATTATTTAGTAATTACCGTGGATAAGGCCTATATTGTCATATACCCAGTACTCGCTCAATTGCTATTACAAGATTTCCTGGTAAATTAAAAGATTATAATATAAAAGATTATAATGTAAAAGATTAGAAATTATTAAATGCCAATCAGTTTCATGCTTTACAATTTTAATTGGAGTAATTTTAGTGAAATAAATACTTACAGTTTAGTTGGGAAAGAAGAAGATTCGTAAGAACAATCCGACAGCCGCTCTGGCAGCCAAAAATGTTTTCCAGATGCCTCCAAGAAACGTAATTGCCAAACCTTTACCTATAAAAGCGCCTCCCATGACAAATAGCAACGTCTTCACCTTGCTCATGCAATCAGACGAAAATGCTGCTCGTATTATTCGTCTATCTAAAATTATCACAGTTAAGAATTAAAAAATACCTCCTGCGGCCAGTGTAATTTTACACCCTAAATAAAAATAAATAAAATTTACGCAAGGTTGGGTAACAAAAGAGGATGACACGACCGAACGGTAAAATTTACCCCAGCGTTGGACAAATTTTCCACATTCTTGCGTACATTCCACCCAATTTTTGTTCCATCCTCTTTTTTACTACCTTAAGTACATTTTACCTATTTCTATTAAGAGCGTACGGAAGGAATAACTGACAACATCGTTGTTATACTTGGAAATTTTACGATTTTAGTATTAAAATCTGTAATTACCATTTCTTTGTGGCCCTTCCTGAGGCGCTAGCGCTGCCTCCCTTGCATTAAGGGCGGCTTCCCGTTCATCCAGTGACGCATTCCTTCCATCTAGCTCGATCTCTCTCACACGATTCATTAAAAAGTTTACAATCAATTAATTTTTTTTACAAACCACAATTTCGTTACCGCTACAAAAAAAATCCAGCCAATTTGACCCCCTCTCTCTTACTATACATAACCCGATAATCTACATATCTGTCGTCTCATATTTCCCGATAAATTTTCTATGTTAACTATGAACTAATCAATTTTCCCAGTCCCGAATCAATTTTATATTTTTTGCCTTCGCTAATGAATAAATAATTGTTTAGTCTAAGGACGGTTCCACTTTGTATACGTATTTTCCCTTGCATTATTTTGTACTTAAAACTGAGATTAAACCTCATTTATCTTTTGAAAAGTTTGATATTTTTCAATTCTTATGACCAATGCTAAAATATTTAGACTTACCGTCCATTTTCAACAATTTTCCGAACAAATCACTTAAAAAATTGGGCCGAGATCTTACAACTTAATATTATATGTAATAATACGTGTGCCAACCACGAGATAAATAATCCGACTGAAAGGTATAATTTATCTTCTTGTTACTCTGACTGAGCTACTAACCACGAGTCGGTAATCTAATTGAGATTTTGCAAATTATGCGACATTATCTCGTTCTCCGTCTCCCGTCTCCATGCAAATTCCTTTTCTCGTGTGGGAGCGTCCATAAATCACGTGATCGATTAGAGGGGGGGAGGGGTTCTGAAATTTGTCACTAATTATCACGGGGGGGGGGGGTAGATGGTCAGATGTCACGTGACATGAGTAAAGTTTTTTGCCAATAAATGTCATGAGAGTTTATATCGTGCGTGTGGTATGATACCACACGCACGTTATATAAATTTGATTTTTATTTTGCATATTTAGAAACTTGCTTCGACCTAAATTCTTATGTCTGACTGGCGTATTAAATAGTTATTTACACATGTTTGTAATGTAGCTCTAATTTGATTAATAATTTAAAAAATATTGTTATTCCGGACATGATTTAATTTGAGCATCATCTCGTGTCACGTGACCGGTGGGGGGGGTAGCGAAATTATCACCACCGGTCACCAAGGGGGGGGAGGGGGTCAAAATTGTCCGAAAATCGATCACGTGATTTATGGACGCTCCCTGTCCCAATCACTATACCAACCAGAAATCTCATTCATTCCAGCGACTCGACTTTACAAAATTAACACCAACTTGAATTCTTCTTCCTTTCAATATGTAACCGTGTCGGTGTATGTACTGTGCGTCATGAATTTGTACCCAAATCTTTATAAATTCAGAGGACGCTAGAAATGCTTTTATTTTTGCATATTGTCATCGAAAAGTGTTCCTTATGAGAAATCATGTGAAATCTTGCGAAACTTGGAAACTTTGAACAATACGAACGTTTCAAAAAATTTGAACAAATTTTGAAGCTTTGTGAGGGTGGATTTGGGTGGGGATAGAATTATAAATAAATGTCGGGATTTTAGCGATACGTAGTTTAACAAAGTCTCTAAGGGAAGCATAAGTACCAAAATTTTAACATAATATTGCATAAAATGTATTTGTAAGGAATTTTGGATGATTACACGAGCGGTTTTATGACAGTGGTAGCCAGGCAAGAAAATATACGTGCTCGTCATTCAACTAAACAAAATATTTCGCTTCTCTTCTGAGTAAGAATTAAATGATTCGACAAGCAGATCCGCCGACTATTTCAAAAGTACAAATACTCTATTGGATTATGTTCCCCACATGAAACGAATTAAAACTTAGCAATTTTTTCGGGCGCCAAAATTTCCTTTGGGGGGTTATGAGAATAATGGGAGATAAATGTGGTGCACATAGGGCACAGCATATCTATGAAATGGGTTGATGAAATTTCAAAAACAAAATTTTTTTACACTCTATGGATCAGTACCCCGATAGGTTTTTCGAACTGAGGTGGAATTCCGACTTTGAGGGGTTTTTCACAGCGACGCAAAATTGACTCAGAAATTAATTTTTCGCTATAACGAAAAAGTATGACGAAATGTTCATACATTAGCTTTTCACCAATTTTTACTACATTGCAAATTATTAGTAGTAGAATAAAGGTTAAATTACAAAGAAAGTCGAAATCGACATGCGTGACCTTTTTCGGGGATCGAAAGGTCACAATGTCAAAGGTCACATTACCCCATAAATGGGGTATCGTTGGAAAGGTATTGGCGAGGGGATTCAGAATATGTATACTTTGTGGGGTCTGAAACCACTCCCTGCAAGTCTAGAGGCCAAAGAACGAAAATCGGCAGTTGTCCAGAATTTAACACAGCAGTGGATTGGGAGCTAACACGGAAGCATGCATGGGAAAAACTCAAAAATATTCTTTTGGCTCTATGTTTGCAGGGAGTGGTTTCAGACCCCACAAAGTATACATATTCTGAATCCTCTCGCCAATACCTTTCCAACGATACCCCATTTATGTGGCTATGTGACCTTTGACATTGTGACCTTTCGATCCCCGAAAAAGGTCACGCAGGTCGATTTGCAATGTAGTAAAAATTGGTGAGAAGCTAATGTATGAACATTTCGTCATACTTTTTCGTTATAGCGAAAAATTAATTTCTGAGTCAATTTTGCGTCGCTGTGAAAAACCCCTCAAAGTCGGAATTCCACCTCAGTTAGAAAAACCTATCGGGGTACTGATCCAGAGAGTGTAACAAAATTTTGTTTTTGAAATTTCATCAACCCATTTCATAGATATGCTGTGCCCTATGTGCACCACATTTATCTCCCATTATTCTCATAACCCCCCCAAAGGAAATTTTGGCGCCCGAAAAAATGCTAAGTTTTAATTCGTTTCATGTGGGGAACATAATCCAATTAAGTATTTGTACTTTTGAAATAGTCGGCGGATCTGCTTGTCGAATCATTTAATTCTTACTCTTCTCCGACTCGATTCAATAACCTCATTTCAATAATCTCATTTACATCCTGTTACACACGTCGTACATGTCTCAATGATGAAGGATTTCTTAAAAGCAGCTAAATAAGAAATCCTTCACCGATTAATTAAATATTCATCTAGAATTATTATCTCAACCTTCATGGACCAGTCTGAGGTCAAACAAAATGACGGTGGACAGGTCAGAAATTTATAGCATGAAACACTGGCATATTTGCGTCCCTACTTTCCAATCTTCCAAATATTCAAATGACGACCTTGAAACATCTTATTCGCCGTGTGGTTTTTATAAAATGAAGATTTTCTTGTATTTAAAAATCCATAATTTTTATATTTACCAGTTATGCTTCTACGAGATTAAAATTTTGATTTTTTTCTTCCCCATACATAAAATAGACAAAATGAAATGTACATAAAACCGATTAAAACTAACAAGTAAAAACAAATTTTTCATACGGAAGAAAAACATAATTTTTTACTTAACTTGTTAACTTTGTAAACATAAAAATCATCGATTTGTAGATGAAATAAAATTTTGACTTTGTATATACGCTGAAAACAAAATATTGCCATGAAGGGGTATTATTTCGCCCCACTTTTTCAGTTGGTGTGAAATATGTACATACATACTCGTATGTAACTCTCAGATTTTGCAGCTTAACAATTCACGGTAACGGCCGCGTCGGGAAGGTCGTTAGATGTTACCAAAAAAAGCGAAGCAAACCGAATCGCTCAAATTGGGCCTAGGTTTGTTAGTAAATTAAATACAAACACATACAGTACCAAATTTCATTTGATCAACATTTGAAAAACAAATTTTGAGTAATTAGAAGTACGGGTACTTATGTGCACATACATATGTACATACATATCCGCCTTATTGATATTATATCGCCTATGGAATGGAAGGAGACTTAAAACATTCCACCTAAACTCTTAACTTCAGAAAAAGGTCAACTCATGTAAACATGTGAACACGAGATGTAACGGTTTATTTTAATTGTGTTTGTGCAAATTTTTCTGCAGTCGGGTTACCTCATGAGAAAGCACGCGGCTTATCTACATATGTCAAGCGAACATATATCATATTTTACATATCAAATATGTTAATTGTCAATTTGACCCTGCTATTTGTCACAATTCAAATGGAAACTACATTGACAAATGTGACATTTAGTGTCGCTTTTCCCCACCTATCTAGTTACATATCTTCGCCACAATAACTTTATTCTGGCGTATTTACATAGTTTTATTGATATTGCTGTTATCCAGCAATGAAATGGAAGTTTAGCACTTTTTCGAAAATTTTATGTATGTAAATACCTAAACCATCAGACATTTCTGTCATGTCAATATGTTAATGACATGTCATGACGGCACACATAAATAAATACAATATGATACTGATAAACAATACATTTTCATTTGTAAATTCATATGTACTAACCTTCCTCCAACCATTCTCTTGCCCTGACCAATTCTAGGGGTAGTGGAGCCTTAAATATCAATTTCAAAATTATAAATGTACATATCTAAGTATACACTTATCAGCAAATATATGTAATTTAATATAATAAATAACAAATTATTAGCATGATCACTGCGATCGTGTCCAGTGAAACAATAGGATTTTGGACAAATTTTGAAGTTCAACTAAACAGTTTGTGCGATTGTAAGAATTTAAAAAAATGAGATCAAAATTGACAAATTTGACGATTTTTACCAAACAAACTTCACTAAATATCGCCCATTTTGTCAATCTCAATTAAAAAAATAAATTTTGACCACTTCACAATCTCGTTGGTTGTATTGACTTGAACTTAATAATACAAAAATTTCAGCTAAATCCGATTGACAATATCTCATTTTTAGCTAAAAAAATACCTGATGAATAGCAAATAAGACTTCTTCCTCCGAAATGACGATGTGACAAACCATGTTGAATTTTGCAAAAACGTTCTTCAATATTTGTAGAAAAATGTATTTATTTTTTTGTGACGAAAGATGACAGTGAATATTTTTATGTAAGATACACCAAGTTTGATGACCCTGTTGAAAGTACGGATTGCTGTGGAGCTTAAATCCAAAAGGGTGAAAAGGGTTGGATCAAAAAACGTGGTGGTGCGAGCTATTTTCGGACAAAGAATGTATATTTATGTGCATTTTACCATTGTGGTGAGACCCCTTAAAAGCATATATGTACCTGCACGAAAAAAGTGCCCAAAAATATATCTCAACTTTAAATAACCTCTACAAATATGGGGACAATGCATGAAAAATAAAAATGCACATAATTCAGTTCCGTGGAAAATTGGAATTTTTCCAATTAATCGTGCCATTTTGTAATATTTTTATCACCAAGTTGGTTCATACATATTATAAGGTCAACGCCGACCAACTTCGCGGCGGCGGCGCCAATTTTGGGGATATATCGGCGCGGCGCGGCGTGTAAATGTTGAAGGAATAGGGAATTAGATTTATCGGCGGCGGCGGCACCTAAAATTATGGCGGCGCCGCGGCGTGAGGTCGGCGGCGTTGATCTCTGGCCCCAACTATTTTCCATTTTTAATATGAAAAAATAATGAATAAGGTTTAGAAAAGGACTCGTGAAATTATAACAATTTTATACCATTACATATGTACAAACGTATATCAATAAATACTATACTATACTATACTATACTACTATACTATACATATGTACAAACGTCCTTACAAATGGGTGACACATAATATCATTAAAATTTCTACACTATTACTCTTAAATTATATTAATCTATTCCACACTCAACTTCATCGTTTCCCAGAAATCTTTACAAATACCACTTCACTTTACAAATACCACAAATTCCCCTGGCCAAAAATGTTTTATACATAAAAACCCTGACCCCCTCTGGAGAACAGTTTTCCCCTCCCCATTCCCCCATCTCTGGGGTAATGGGAAGCTCCATCCGTACAATTAACCTCTCCAGGACGGGAAACTGTTTGGCATATACTAACTTTTCTGTAGCAAACTTTAGCGAAATGTCGCGAATCCAGCGTCCGTATTTTGCATACAGCTCGTCCTCGTCTTTCCTAATAATTTTTAAAAATTTCAAGTTTGGGAGGATCGGGACCCTTAAGTCTTCTTTACGATGATCCCGCCACGTGGGAAAGGCGAGAACGTATGAGATGCAGAGGTGTTCTAACTGCGGGGCCAGGATGTCGAGGAGGTTAGGTTGGTCGTCGGGGTTATCCCCGATTTGCGGGTTCACCTCGAGGCGGGTCACGTGGGAAAAATTCGCAACGTTTTTAACCGGACTGGGTGGTCCGTGGCGGTCATAATAATAAGCTCGGATCACGGCGAGAGACTCGAGTCTGCGCAGTGGGATGTCGTTCTCTTCCAGGACCCAGTCTGGCAGGTCGGACAGGGTAAGGCTGACAACGTGGCGGAAAACCATGAGAATTCGTAATATTAGAGAAGTAATGGGGTGCGGCCTTGTAAATTTTTCTAAGGCTGAGGAACACCTGTTCAAAAAAGAGTTTCCTCATTTAAAACTCATTCATATTTAAAAAATGTTCATTCATAACTAATATCTACTGATTACAGATTTGAAAATTGATATGTATTTAATCCTTATTCATTATTCATTTGTTACTCATTGCATACCAAATTCCTCTTATTTGCTGGATTTCTCAACAACCCGGCATGAATTTACTAAGCATGCCATGAAAAATTAATAATGAACAAAACTATTCATTCATTCTGCATGAGTATCAAATGAGTAAATATTTCGGCCAGGCCCAAATATATAAATAATTATTCTCCCCTTATACTAATGAATGATGAATGAATAATATTTAATAAATGAATGCGATCAGCTCAACACACATTTTAACCGTCAAATTCCTCAGTTTACCCGGAACCATTAGCTTATCGGGAAACAAATCCTTCCAGTCTTCTTCCGAGGCTAAATTTTCCCACTTAGGACGCGGAGCCAGGTGGAGTTTCAACGACTTTAAATTTAAAAATGATTCGAATAGTTTGGCCACGTGACACTCCACGTGCATGGAATTGTCCACGAGGAATTCAATTTCTAACGTTGTCACAGATTTAAAGTAATCGATGGAACGTAGTAATTCACATTTTGTGAGCAAAATATCTCTCTCCCGGTAGCAATCGTATAAAGTTAATATCTTCACGTGTTTGAGAGACAAGGCGGAAATGGATGCGAGGTCGGCGGGGTCGTTGACCGCGGAGAGGCGGAGGTCGATCGGACTCCGAGCGACGAGATGGATCAGAGCTTCCGCTTCCCACGTGGAGTTGACGAGGGAACAAGATTCCAATTCGGGAGCGGGGAAGAATGCCATAATTCGAGAAATTACCTAGATAACATAAAAATACTTGAATTCTATTTAGTCAATATAATAACGCACTCAAAATAAAATTGAGTAAAATTTGCCACCACAGTAACAGGTTGTGTAAAATTTACTCAAGGTTTAGCCACAATTCGGAAAAATTTTACACAACTCGTTACACAACTCGTCATAGAGTATGAGTAAATTGTTCCCAAATTCATTATGGCAACATTACTGCAGGGTAATTCCCGTTAATACAAGTGCCGGTAGGGCCAATTATGTACTCTGGTAGGTAATGATTTAATACCAGTTTTCTAAGAGTGCACTAAAATGGATTTAAATCAATACCTCGGGCAAGTTTGCAACTAAATTGAGTGATACTTGGGGACAAGTCTCCATTTCGATGATGACACGGCTCATCGACAAGGTACGAAAATTGCCCTTTTATTACTAAACAAATCTTACGAAAAAATCAATTTTGGAACGATGTTTTTAAAAAATATGCTACAAGCGGAGAACAAAGTGGTACAAAACTTTGCATCCCTTTTAAGAACAATGGAGAAAGGTTCTCTTCAGAGTTAAAAATACTTTTGGGAAAAAAACTTCACAATAAGTGTAAAGTTACCTGCATAAATCGTCACTTTATTTGTGGGGCAGAATACTGGAAACGGTACAGAAGAAGCTAAAAACTGGGCTTTACGTACATATATACATAGTTGAGTTCATTCTACCCTTCGGGTTTTTAACCTTTTAAGGAGTATGATTAACTACTTAAAGGAAAATCCATTCATTCATGGACGTTAGAAGTATTTACATACCTATATATTTTGTAGCTAGTGTGCCAAAGATGTAGTCCAATAGTTTTAACAAAACTTGAAAAACTGAAGGATCCCAAATTTAATATTGCATTAAATTCGAAAGGAGCCTAGAAAATGACAATTTTTGTGTTACAGAATTTAGGGATGGCCTCTCACATATGTCATTGTATTTCATAAAAAAGGTGGATAAATGCAGAATTTATTTGTCGCCTTATTAATATTGGTGACAAGTATACATACATATATTTAATTGTATCGTTTCAAATAACCCTCACTTCTGAACCGACCTATATTATATAGCTCATTTTTTATGCACGCATACGTCATTTATACTTTAAAATTGTTTTCAACTAGCGAATTACTCGTTTCATTAGCATCAACAACTTATTTATCAATATATTCTTCCACTCATTGAGGTAAGACGGTATACATAACTTTAGGTAAATAATAATTTAAATATTATTTTTCTGTACAAAGTTGCTTCCTCTCATATCTGAAGGACTTGTGCATATTGATTTTTTGCTGACTGATGTATGTATTTAGATACATACCTAAAATAGCAGCAAGTTTATTAAAATGTAGCAAAGAAAATAAAGCCAATCAATATTCCTCGAGGATATGTACATAATGCTCATTTACAATTTCTTTGCAGTCTAACGATAAGTTTTTTAAGCCAAACATGATAAATCAACTCGGACGATAAATTTATTCCTTTATTTTATGTATCGCTTATCCTTAAACCTTCAATTTCGCTAGACTAAAAGACACAATCTCATCGCACTATGTATTACTACAAATTCTTAAAAAAGTTTTAAATGTTTTAGGAAACGCGACAGTTTTAAGGAATTATCCCCTTAATCTCTACAATCATTTAAAAATACGTAAATTCATACAATTAGAATTCGAAACAAAACTAGTCTAAAAACAGAAAAATCATCGCAGGGAATACCTTACTCTTAGAAATCCAGTATTAGAAAAATACTAGTGGTTATTCATAGTTACATAACTCTACCAACATTTATTTGTACATAAGTAATAGGTTGGTGTTAGAATCAGTGGCAAATTTGAACGGATCGAGAAATTTTTAGTACCAAACGGTGACAATATTAATACCGAGAAATCAGTACCTCTCTTACCCTACCTAATTTCTAGCATTGTCCAAACATGGCTAAAACAACCCCATCCGTATCGAAAATCATCCCAAAAAATGCAAATGTCCATCAAGTCGACAGCAGTGTTTGGAAAGTGCTTGACAGCCTGCAGAAAGTTTTAGACAAGTTTTGGCAACTACCCGTTCAAATTAATGGACAAGAATTAAAAATAGTTTCGAACAGTAAAATGTCCGGGTATTTTTTTGCGGCCGGAAGTATGGCGTTCATATGGATTTTGACGGTCCTGCTTTGCTATAAAGTAATTCTTTTCTCGGATCCGGACTTCATCCCGCTGACCGCTGTAGTTTCCACGTTGATATTGTCCGACTGCGGCAGCGCCCTTGCAATTACGTACTCTCTGTTCGTTAACAGGAGCGACATTGATTTTGCCGTTCGAGCCGCGAAGTCAATCATGGATGATATTTCAGTTGGTGAGTTTCAATTTGGTTAAAGTGTGGGTACGTATTTACCAGAGCTGGGAACTAATCCAGATTGATCAATGTGTTTAAATGGTCAATCCCAAATCCCTTATCCCTCTATATTTAACATTGGGTAATCCGGATTAGTTCCCAGCTCTGGTACGTACATACGTACCTATTCATTTTCATTTTTACACTATTTAAATAATGTATAAGTCATTCATTCATCATTCAGTAGATAAATTCTCGAATCAGTGACAAATATTGTCAAAACATTTAATCAATGAATACTTCATAAATACTTGTTCATTTCATATGTATGAAGAATGAATGAAGGATTGTATTCACTATTCATTTTTCATGATATGCTTTAGATATGGGGTATATTATGTAAGAAGTTAATCTAATAGGGGAAAGTGAGATAAAATGAATACATATTTTTTTAAAATTTTGAATGAATAACTAATGAATATTTGTCACTTCAAACAGTTCAATCATACATAATATTTCCGGTTTCAGGTCGTCCCCGAAAAACATCACCCCTCGACATCCGGACCATCCTTGCCAATGGTGTTCTAAACTCGCTGCTAGCCTTCCCCTGCTTCGGATTTCTCGTCCCCTTCGTAAATGGCGAATGTGCCCCTTATTTCTACCTGTTTCGCTATTTCTCCCTCCCTTTTCCCATCTCGGAATGCATCTCTGCCCTGATTTACTTCCAACTCATGCTTCAAACCTCCTTCGTCACGGCCTTCTTCCTCCTGTACGTAATGATCTGTTTAGAATTTCTGAACCAAGGTTTAAGATGCATCGCACTTGGCGCCTCTTTTTGCGAACGAAACAGCAAGACAAGAAATTTAAACAATAAATTTAGCACATCAATCTGGACCAAATCAAAAGTGATTCCCTTTACATTCACAAAATCGCTAAAAATTCACCGAAAAATCTCCATAATTTTGCAGCTCTTGAACATAATTAGTTTATTTCCGGCCCCCGCCTTGATGGGGATCGTGCTCTGTTTAGGAGCAGTTTTTATTTATGGGACGATTTCTCTTTATCACGTGTTCAATAATCCGTTGCTATACCTAGTGGGCCCGATGATGCTGATCTCCATTTTTGTCGGATGTGCCGCAATTTTTCCGGAGTTGGTAAACATTAATTTGTATTCAGAAGAGTGGATAAGAACGAGCGGGAGGAAGTTGGTTTCGAAAGAGGGGAGGAGGGTTGTGAGGTCGATAAGACCGCTGAGAGTGATGTTGGGTGATTTTTATTTTTTTAAGAGATCATTGACTATTGATGTGCTGGGAATTGTGATGTATCACGGAGTCACGCTGGTTTTGGCCTTTAAATGAAATCGTGCATATTTATTAACCTATTTTCTTATAGAATATGTACACTCTTAGAAATATGGTTACGATTATAATCAGAAATTAAATGTACATGACTCTACCGCCCTGGTTATGAATTTTTCACCAACTGGTTATAAGTTTATTAGCTGTGGTGACAATCCAATACCAAGTCGGCGAAACTTTATAATTAGTCGGTAACAATTGTAACCACTCGATGACAAATTTATAACCACGGCGGTAAAGTCACATATCTATCTACGTTTACTTTTTGGTTATAATCGCAATCTCATTTCTAAGAGTGTATGTATGTAAGTACACAATTATGAGTGAATGCATGCATATTAATTTACTTATGTATGTACTAAACTATTGGGGCTAACAAGGGACACTCACGACCTGTCGTTTGAGTCCAGGGTACCCACTATGTTTTTTAGAATCTACTAGGACCCCAGGTGAAGGATTCATTCGTATTTCCGTGTAAAACTCATATTTGACGCCATGGCGTGGCGCCAAATTCGCCAAATTTGCATGTTTTTATTTTTGAAACCGCCATAACTTTTGAAATCCTGGACGGATTTTAAAAAAATTTGGCAAAAATCATGACAAGGAGTTCAACTTTCGTATTCCATGAAATTTTTTCCAAAATTATCACTTTTAACTTTTCGCAAAATTTCGTAATTTAGTTATAAATGGGGGTTCGTCGAAAAAATGCTAAAAATATTTCAAAAATTAGAAATTTTTTATTTTTATTTTTTTCTCAAAAATTTCGACTTTTGTGATCATTATAAGCATAAAATTTTGAAAATCCGACATAAACTGCTAAAGTTATGGGGGTTTGAAACTGGTCGAAAATGCAAATTTTGAAGTTTGGCGCCACGCCATGGCGCCAAATATGAGTTTTACACGGAAATATGAATGAATCCTTCACCTGGGGTCCTAGTAGATTCTAAAAAACATAGTGGGTACCCTGGACTCAAACGACAGGTCGTGAGTGTCCCTTGTAAGCCCAGTCTGAAAAAGATGGGTGACACGATGACGTGATCTATAAATTTATGTACCAGAGACACTCTAAATAAAAATGACGTAACATATGGAAGATTCCTCACAGTTATATAAGCACCATTCCATGTGCAAATAACCTTTGCACTTGTATTTATCTATGTACTTAACCTAAGGTTAAGTTAAGTTAGGCAATTCATTATTTAACTCCACAAATCATACCATTGATAAGGATTTACTTACGTACTTATCAATATAAAAAAACGAATAAATACCTCCACTTGTGCATAATCAGGTCTCACTTATCTTTCAGAATCGTAACAAGTTCATTAAAGTAAAAATTGTTTTTCGTTTACATAAAAATTTTCCGAAGTATGAATTCCTCAAGAATTGTGGCCCTTCTCCTCTTCGTCGTGGCCTTGTCGAAGGCATGCGCGGCCATCACGTACGCCAACCAGTCCTTGGTCGACACAAGTGGTATATATTCATTTACATAAAATTACACTCTTAAATGCAATGGTACCCTTCTAAGGAGTAAATGTACTGCAAGTTACAAATTTGTAAGTGAACTAAATTAAATCCAGGGTAAAATTTACTTCCTTATCAAGATAATGTTACCCTGGATTTAGTATAGTTTACTTAATTTAGACTTCAGAGAGCTTTTAGTGCTCAAAAGGTTGCCATTACTTCTAATCGTGTATATTTGAAGCTTACATATATCCATTATAATGTAATTTTTATTTTGAGATTCAGCTTAATTTATCTTCACTCTTAAAAATAATTTTACACTTTTAAGCAGTAAATCAGTCCTTAATTTAATATTAAATAAACTATACTAAATCCGGAGTAACGTGAACTTCATAAAAAATCAAATTTACTCTGGATTTAGTTTACTTTACTTAATACAGATTTCAGACCGCATTTCTTGTTTAAGTGGGCCGTACTATTTTTAACAGGGCAGATAACTTTAGCCGAATTGATTTTTTATTTATTTAAAATATCAATTTGTTTCTTATTTCCCAGCCAACGAGATGTATTCGATCGACCTGAAGCAGGGGATGTGCTCGCAGTGTATTTATCAAGGTTGCTGTCAGGTTAATTCGACTCATTACGCGTGCTGTGGAACGTCCACTTCGTACTATTGCTGTTCCGACCGGCGGTCCTGTTGTCTGGCGGGGTACACCTGCTGTGGCCAGTATTGTTGTGGGTCGGAAACCTACTGCAACGGGGGGGTATGTCGGCAAACTGGTGGGGGCGGGGGTGGATCGGCAAGAATCGAGATAATCTCGGCGGTTGGACTGGTCTCGGGGGTAATTTTGGCTAAGGCAGTGTTGGGATAAAGGGTTGTGGGGGGGGAGCTTGTCGATTAATTCCAATTATGGGGATGAATAATTTTAATTTAATTGAACCGTATAATAACCGAATGAATTTATTATATTTAAGATTTACTACAATTTATTAAAATGTAATTCAGTTAATTAATAGATACTAGATTACATTAATAAATCATATTATGTGTACCCGAGAAGTTCAAATTATGAGTCAGTAGTCTGAGGCGACTGCGTATATCAACCTTTAAGGAGTATGATAAATTACAAGAAAATGCGTTAATTCGTGGAGGTTATGACAAAATATGTACTTTGTGGTCTTCGAAATATTCATAAATAAATCAAATGAAACTCTAAAACAAACTCAAGATCCGAAATTCAAAATAGTGTATTAGACATATCGAGAAATAAAAAAATTTTCGGCAAGACAAAAATTTTATTCACATTTTGTTGGCGTGTGATAATTGTGTTAAAATTCCAAAGGATTTTTTCACATATCTATGACACACGTATACATATTTATTTATGCTATGTACATCACATCTATATTATAATTTCGAAAAGTCCGTCCCGTGAAATTTTCCGTGACATTCCTGCATTCTGATTGGTTGCCGGCTTCCTGGCTCCACCAATCACAGCACGGATATGATTTCGGTTATGATTTCGGTTATGATTTTTGTTATGATATCGGTTATGATTTACGGTTATGATTTACGGTTATGATTACGGTTATGATTTCGGTTATGATTTCGATAATGGTCAACCAGAAAATAATTCTTAACAAATTTAACAAAATCCTTAGCAACGTCAAAAAAGATTCCACGGAACAGCCTTTTCGATGTTTTAATATATGTGGATGCTGTTTTACTATTAAATTTTAATTTGGTTGTGTTGTAATTGGTACATCGCCGCAGTTATGTGGTGATTTCATCGAATGATTTTGTTGTGTTGTTTTAAAACTTGATGTGGACCGTCCTTAAGACGGGCTTATAGGCTAGTTAAGTTGTAAGATGAGTTGAGCCATAAAATGGGACAGAGAACTTGGTTGGCACCAGTGATCTCATCCTTGCGGGAAACACTAATCTAAATATGCTTATCAATCACTTGAACAGGACAATGGGGAGGAGGATGTTTGGTGCACAACGATCCGTCAAGCATCACCAGCCTGGTGACACCAGGAGCAAAAGTCACTTGTGTTTTTAGGTACACTGATGAGCAAAGATTTTTCGTTAACTTCAAATCTCATTCATTTTAATTATTCAACGGGTGAAATGCATCGACTTAAATAATATTTTATAACTATACCGGTGACTTTTGCTCGTGCCATTTTGTGCTTTTTTTTACAAATAAGCATTTGAAATCGTTCCCGTCTTATTTAAAAAAAATAAGTTGGGTCAGAATGTCAACTAAATAGATACCCTAATGTGTTTCTTAAAAACGTAGAGTTCAATGTTATTGACAATTAATCAGAAGTACACACTCGAGGTTAATGCAAAAATCTTTGCTTATGACTTTTGCGCCGCAGTGTATCATGCAAATTATTGACGCAGATTATGGTTCAATAAGATTACAGACAAAACAGAGTGTATTGTGTGGGTGAACGCAGGCCACGAATTAGGTATAGTCGAGCTAGGAAACCGTCTAGGGCGCCGACTTTTAGGGGGCGCTGGTGACCGCCCCTTAACACTAAATAAACACAACTTGTATAATTTCATAATGTATCGTGCAAATCAACACAACAAAATTTTTTTCACTGAAATCTGGCTTACACGTTTTAGCCTGAACATTGTGCGTGATAAACTTGCAAGTAATTGGTTAAAATCTTCAAAAATATGCATAGCAGAAACAGCGTTTTAGCACACTAAAAGATTTAACTAATTTACTTTTAAAATACTGATTTATGCTAATATAATGAACCACAAAATTCAAATTAGTGCATGACGATATCGGATCGTCGCATTGCTAGGTACAAAGATGCGACCACGTTGGGGCGCCATTCTCGTTATGCCTAGGGTCCCGCATTGCTTAGAATTGGGCCTGCGTAACATACTAATAATGTACATATGCATAACAATAAATATATCGTGAATTTATTGCTCGTCTATGTTATGTAAGGCTTATCAACATTACACACACGGGAATATTTTTTTTCTGAGACAAATTGGTTTCAGAAATATGTAGGCACGCAGATATGGATTTCTTGGTATTAAAGTTGCTACCGTTGGCATTGAAATTATAGCGGTGCGTAAAAATTTGATACCAATACTGCAAAAATTTAATACTAGATATTTAACACATCCTGTGCCGATAAGAGTGTCGCCTCTCTAGATTGCACTCATTCTTATTACTTCCCGACTATAGGTTACTTTTCATATGCAAGTTCTTTGTACAAGTCCCATAATGAGACATGAATACAAATATTCATTCTATCAATATCTACACATACAAGACCTGATTAATATCTAAACGTATTTATTAAAGCAGATAAGTTGTATAAGCTAAAAAACAAATAGCTTCGCCCATCCGTTTCCTAATGAGGGAATTATGTATGTATATAATTAGCATGTGTGCAAATGTAGTAAACCCTCAGTATCATAAAAGTGGTTGTACACAGGGTATGCTACCCCGGGTTTTTGGGGTATTGGGGTATTGCGGATTTTGGTGGGTTTTGGGGTAGCAAATTTGAGCAATACCCACGGGTAGTCGGGGTAGCCGGGGTTTTCAAATTTTACAAAATATGATAACAGGGCATTGCTAGCAATTCTACAAATTAATTACATATTAAAATATAATTAACAAGCAGTTTTATTGCGAAATTACTGAAAAACTGATTTTTTTCAGTCATTTCTGAACTTAATACATGAGAAACTGACTCAGTTTGCCCCCAAAACCACGACTACCCCGACTACCCGCAAACCCCAGGTAAGACCCCGGGGTTTAGGTTTTCAATGGCAAAACCCCGGGGTATAGGTTTTCAATAGCAAAACCCAGGGGTTTTCCTTTCCCTGGTTGTACATAAGTATTCCTATCACCGTTTCAGTTATTTTTAAACATACCAGTTTCAGCATTTCCTATCAAAAAATCTATCGATCCCATGTCATGATGGGAAATGGCGTCTAATTTACAGGCAGTGGAAAAGTAATTTATTCCCCCACATACATAATCTAGTCCTCCAGTATCTAAACTACTAATTAGAATTCCGCCTCGAGGAGCTATCCAGTAGTCCCATTAAGCAAATATCTAAGTAGTCGATTCAGCTATTTTCTGGTACAAGACTAGAACTACAGACGTAAAGCAGTGTGTAAATCCTCCATCGCACTAATTTTTGTGACATACTTACAACTTATAACCAATCCCATCGCTTAATCGACGTAGTGCGTACGAAGGATTTATCAAAATGGCATTCCGACAATATATACATTGTTGTACTTGCCTGTGGATGACGTATATGATCAGCAAGATTTAGTTTGAGCCTAAATATTTGAAACAACAAATTTTGAAATTGTGGATGAATTTTGAACCAGCATAAGTTTGGAGTTGCATTAAGCAACTACCGGAAGCCAACCTTCTCAAAATTGTTGTTTGCGTCTGGAACTTTTCTAGGATTGACGTACATACAGTATCCCACTTAATTGTAGATGCAGTGCATGCATGCATTGTACAAATCAGAAATACTCCAAAACGGGTTAATATTTCAAATTGATTCTTACACCAATTACCAACAATATTTCGTACTACAATCGTGCAAAATTTGAAATGAATTCGTCTAAAACGGATAAAATTATAGATGTTTAAATGTCGAAAAGTTGCAAATTGCACGCCACAAAATTGTGGATGCAGCTAAATAGCCCATTCAATATTTTGTGTGCCTACGTTTAGCGGCAATACCGGCTTGAATTCGTCTGAACATCGACTCGACCAATCTTTTAGTGACACTCAGGTCGATATTCCCCCACTCTTCCGTGCTTATGGTTTTCAGATTAGCTGGATTTATGGGTTTCCATCATGCCGCCAAACATGTTCACCGTAGCTATGAATGCTCGATCGGGATGAGGTCAGGAAATGAGGAATTCCAGTCCAAAATCTTCATTTTATTTTCCTTGAGACATTTTCAGATAATTTTTGTAATATTTATCAAATTCTCGCAATATTGGAAGATAAATCTCTGACAAAAGTCCTCTTTCGCTGCAAATCGACAAGGATTTATTTTTAGCAAATCAAGAAAAGCCTCGTTTGTCATGATGTCAGCGACTCATTTCAATGTTCCTACCCCGTCCTATCGGAAACTGCCTCAAACCATTACATTCCGGCAAGAATTCGAAAGTTTCACACCACATACTAAATGTACAGGCAGCAAAGATTTTCCTTGACACGTGTATTTTTAACAATTGCCTCAGAAATCAATTGTTCGCACTTTTGTTTGGCCTCTGCCACATTCTGGTAACTCTGTCTGAACCAGGAAGTTTAATTTTGATCTCATCCAAGAAGAAAAAAAATTTCCTATAACAAGCGGAACTTCTGTAGTTTGCCTTCTTAACGCTAATAATTTCTTGTGGTATCCCACTGAGATCTTAGGTGTTTATTTTGCCAAATCTCTCGATAATTCAGCGAATAGCGGCCTGTTTCTAATCTTTTATAAGTGAACATCTGTAAAAAGGTCCCTTTGGATACCTCTCGCAAGGTTTGGTGTGAACAGACGAGGACCATCCTAACAATTCTCATATGTCTCGTGTCATGACGCGGAGATGTACGGCTTTTTGGACGCTGGTCGTAATGGCAAAAATGAGTTGCAATCTAATCCCAGTTTTTGCACAATATATGGTACAGGTTGTCTTGAAATTTAAAGTTTTTGGCCAATTTTTCCATAACTTTGCACATTTTAATGACACGCAACATTTTCTGCCAGAATTTCTAGATTTACCTCGTTCTTATTTACTATTTTGATATACAATTTCCACAAAATATTTTTTATTGACAACTCAAATAACTGTTCTTACCCATAATAAGCAATCCCGAATGAAGTTTGCCTTTAGAGTGACAGACTGGGTCGTTATCACAATTAAGCTCGCCTGCATCTACAATTTTGTGGCGTGCAATTTGCAATTTTTTGACATTTAAATATCTATAACTTTATCATTTTTAGACGAATTCATTTGAAATTTTGCACGATTGTAGTACGAAATATTGTTGATAATTGGTGTAAGAATCAGCTTGAAATATTAACCCGTCTTGGAGTATTTCTGATTTGTATAATGCATGCATGCACTGCATCTACAATTAAGTGGGATACTGTATCTGCAACTTTCAAGGAATTTCTTTGTGATCGGATGCAAATTAAAATGGGAAGTATTCTCTTTTTAGTTCCAATTGCTCTATTTCATTTAGAGCAATGTGAGTCCAATAGTGGTGCTCTTCCAGCATTCCACATCCTCCT